CGCCGCCGCAGCGAGCGGGTCTATATCAAGGCCCTAGATCGTGTCCCTGGCCAGAGCTTGAACAAGAAGACCATCAAGGAGGATGAGGAGGAGGAGGAGGAGGCGGAGAATGACATGTAGTCTTCCATTGGAATCGGCAATTTGGGTTGTGACTCGTGAGGATCGCTCATATCTGAGCTCATGTGTCCGGGTTCTATTGATGTCAAATAAAGGAAAAGGATCAGGTTATTAACGGATGATGCTCCGCCGGAATGTTGCAGAAGTCGAGTTGATTAGAGTGCCGAAGAGACTTTAAGTATGCTCTGTGATCGCGCGTTTCGCGGGAATATCGCGGACGAATTTAATTTTCGAAATAATGAAGCGGCGGTGATAGAAATTTGATGTAAGAGAAGTTGAAATCTGAAGGAAATGTGAGAAGATATATTTCCGTGCACAGCAAACAATTAAATTCAATCCCATTGCGTTGAGGTCTGATCAATAATTGCCTGGTCATGTAGTTGTCTTTATTAATTCTAAGTTGGCAAACACCATATACAATATAGGATTATGTCTGACAGTTGAAGGCTATTTCAACGACATTCGGAATTTGAGATCTCAAATCCCATTTCAGCTTCATCAGAGACTACCGAGATACATATTGATGCACTCATAAGCAGTGAAAATCTAATTGAACGAATATTTGCGTGCGAAAGAAAAAAAAAAGACAAGTAAGAAGAAGATCCAGGACACATACTCCGTACAATGTAGACAACCGCAACAATACGACACGCTTGCTAAAGACACCGAAATGCAAGGAACGAAAAAGTCCCTATACAACCACCCAAGTAATATGAATCAAAAAAGAAATTAATGTAAGATAATTATCATGGTAGTTTTTGTATGAAAAAAATGCCAAATTCAGGTCTCTAAACAGACTGGTCTAGCTTGCCACAGCCAGCTGGGCGACGAGATCAGACGCCACATCAAGGAAGGGGTAAGGGCTGGTCACTTCCTTCTCCTTGTTCTTGAGGCGTCTGCTGATGGGATGCCATTCGGTTTCGCCATGAGCGCGGATCACGTTCTGGTAGCCATCGCATTTGAAGTCGACCATGTAGTTGTTCTCTTCGAGTTGGTAGAGCTGTATGTCGAGGAAGACCCAGACACCGTAGGTGATCTTCTGGAGTCCGCTTGGTACATTGACCGAGGAGGCCCCGCTAGCGCTTTCGGGGACGGAGGACTGGGGTTCTCTGCCCCTGTCTTCTGTTGGAGCAGAGATTCCCGAGATGTTGAAACGGCGGCGCAGTTCCTCGAGATCACTGCGGCTACTGTAAGCACTGGTGGTGTCTCCAGGAGGGTTGATGCCTTCTTTCAGCAGGCGTGCACGGATAAACCATGGGTCCTTGGGAATGTAGTAGTCGGATGGGAGGTCGGGGTATTTGCTCTGCAAGGGTTTGGGCTTATCAGGGGAGGGGGTCGCATCGGGACCAATATTAGTGCCTAGAGAATATAAGAATCGGCTCAAAATGGGTAATGGGTGGAAACATACCTGATTCCACGGGTTGAATATCCCACAATCCACCCTGGGCAGCAATTGCCCGGTACAGATACAGCATGGCTTCATATGGCTGGTTTCGGGACCGAATACCAAACTGCCATTTACGGCTCCGTTTGGGCTGTTTTTCTAGGGGTTGACCGGTTGGCGGCTCGAATCGCAACTTGTCCAAGTCGACGACACTGCGTGAGTGGGGCTTCAATGCACGGGCTGTGGCAGCCTGTTCTTCGGGAGACATGTCCCGGTAGGCAGATCCCTGTCCCTCTGGGTCAAGCTTGATGGCCTCTTGGCGACGCTGCTCGAGCATTTGGTTGCGAGCTCTTTTATCGCGATCACGTTGTTCCATGAGTTGGTCGTGAACGTACGGCAAGCTAGTAGGGAGGATTCGGACGTGGCTAACGCGGAGTTCGTCCTCGTCTGATTGCTGTGGATCTTCCGAGGCCCTACGGCGCGGTGCACTAGCGGTCCTGTCCATGGTGGGAGCAGGGGTCCCTTGATGACGAGGCGCAGGAGTCCGATCCGCAGATGAAGGCGCAGCTCCTTTCTGGGCATTTTGAGCTAACAAATTATCATCCGAGGGTGCTATCGTCGTTAGCAGAGGTAGGTTAATTTAGTAGATCAAGACTTACAATTAGTTTGCATCATCTCATTCTCAACAACGATGGAGAAGGCATCCTTGATCGCGCTGGGTTCCGCTTGTCTCAATGCCTCTTCGATATCTTCTCGGCCATACCCCATGCTTCGTTCGAGCTTGGAAACTGCAATTCGATGGATTTTGCTCTGGACTGATATAGGCTTTGCTATGTCAAGCCTCGCAGAATCAACCTTCTTCGGGTCCACCCCTGGGGCGATGAATTCCTCTCGTGGTGGTTCCAGGTACTTGGGGAGATTTTTCTTAAACCATGGGTCCTCTCTGATCTCAGGAATTGTAATGCGGTGGACGGGATGAACTTGAAGCATTGCCCGGATCAAACGAGCTGCCCCGGATGAAACATATCCAGGTATGTGGAAGGTGCCCGCTGCAATCTTCTTGAAAAGGGCTGGAATGTAGTCATCATCGAAAGGCAAACGGCCCACCAACAACACATACAGAATGACACCACAACTCCACACATCGACCTCGGGACCGGCATAGAGTTTTCCAGAGATGACCTCTGGCGCAGCGTAGTTCGGGCTACCGCAGCTGGTCTTCAGGAAGTTGCCATCCGTCATGATATTACTCAAACCGAAATCCGCAATCTTAACGTTCTTCTGGTTGTCGATGAGCAGGTTCTCGGGCTTCAAGTCACGGTGTACAATCTTGTGTCGGTGGCAGTATTCCACAGCACAGATAATTTGCTGGAAGAATTTCCGGGCTTCATCGTCGCCGCATCTGCCCTTCCTCACGAGATAATCGAACAACTCTCGCTCTGCGTACTCCAGCACCATCACAATATCGGTCTTGGTCGCAATCACCGTATACCTAAATCATTGGTCAGCCAACTGAAATCCCAATTTCAATGTGGATTGAAATTGTACAATTTGATGATGTGTGGGTGTCGTAGCAATTGCAAGTACTGGATTTCTCGCTCCACGCGCCCAACCATATCTCTGGAGAGTAGTTTGCGTCGTGAGATGATCTTCAGAGCAACTTGACGTCCAGTTGGCTGGTGAATGGCGAGCTTCACCTTGCCAAAGGAACCCTCGCCCAAGACCCGTATAGTCTGGTACTGGTCGAGGCGTTGCATGTCTCGGGTAGTCGACGGTGACTGCAATGGGTCCTCGATCTTGCTGGTCGGCCTCGAGGGCGCGGGCATGGCCATGGCGGAGGGGTTGGAGGGGGAGGTCTCGCACGTTCACGCGGACGATCACGGTCGGATGGGAGGGGAATAGCGAGGTCTTCCTCGTCGAATGCAGCGGCCATGGTCGGGAATAATGCCAACGTGACGTGATTGATTTTCCAGACGATTCAGCGGTCGGGACTGCTGACTGTGCAGACCGTTCAGTGCTCGGGAGGTTTTTCTCTCTAATTTTTCTCTCCAAACATTTGCCAGGCGCCAATCAATTGATCAGTCTCGACCCTCCCCACAATAGAACCGAATGTGGAGCTGGGCAGCTGTTGTCGGGTGGGGGATGGAGGGGTAAATTTGCTTGTCAGGGGTTGAAGAAGTGAAGAAACCAAAATGGACTGAAGTTTTGGATGAGGTTGAGTGATTAAGCCAATATTAAATAGGAAGATCAATGAGATCTGGGGAGCCACTTGGGCATGATTTTCAATCAACCTCGTTTGTGGACATTGATGGAGTTCTAGACCTTACCTAAGCTAGTTCTGGGGCACATCACCTATTGTCCACTGTGATATCTACATTTGCAGGACATGTTAGCAAGGAAACCCGTTATGATGGGTAACATATAGAGTCTATATATCAAGAGACTTCTTTTCAATTACTACTATACTCTGAATATTCACCTTGACGTCCTATGTTATATATCAGCCAAGCTTTGTCGGTCAAGTTTCAACACAGCAGCTCCTTTTTATATCCTTATGCCAGCCCTAATGCAATGCATATGATCCTAGCTCAAAGGTTGGTCTGTGTCTCCGCAGACTAACAACTAACTAGAGCTAGTTAACAAATACAACATAAAGCTTCTTGTCTTTTTATTTTTTTAAAGAGATTTCGCCGAAGCGATCCGAGAAAATCTGTGTCATAGGCAGTGGGTCAACAATACCCTTAAAGAACTGTGGCTGAAAGTCAATTGATCGAGATTGTTCATTATTTACACATTTCCAGTGGTAGAATAATGCATTTCGTCTACTGACTTCGGTATTAAGTTGACTATGTATGCGGGTTCGTGGATATAATGTGCCGGCTATATTATCCAGTGCACTAAAGGTACAAATGCAGTCGGGCTATGCAACACAGCCACTGAATCTTAGGCAATTCAGACAAGAGATATAACCTCTTCCTGCGCATTTTAGAGAGTGGAGCCTTGAAAATAATGTACATTGTATCCATCTATCCGTCGAAATTATATAAAGAGACCAACCTGGAAGATGAATGGAATTTTCTTCCCGTAAAAGAGACTTGGATGGTACCTAGAGCTTCATAGTAAATTGTATGGATGAGGAAGTACCCCGGGAGTACGTGCATTGAGTCATATTGCGGCTTAGAGCGATCAAGCGGGGTGTCGGGGTCCCAAAGCGGATTAGCGTCGAGTCGGGGACCTCGAAAGGGAATGGCGGACTGGGAGATCGGAGCATACATAGAATCAACCGCTACCTTAGCTCCTAGGTTCCTTCACCTTCCCCGGAAGCCATACAGAGTTACCGTTCCTTTCGTCTTCTTTACGATATCCTCGATATCTTAGTGTCCTACTGCCTCAGGGTCCTTAGACGTGGCCTGACTAAAACGGCACTCTCTCTTTGACTTTTCCCTTTTCATACAAAATAGATACCCTTGGTGATACCCACTCTACGTTTTCTTTTCCAATGGCTTTCGTTGCGGATCAATTCTTCTCTGAGATGGATGCGACAATCTCCAATGAATGGGTTGACTTCGATCAATTCCTCGATCTCCCTTCAGCCTACGATGACCAGTCAACCGCTACTACCGTCTCACCTCAAGACCTAGCTCTGCCCTACGAGGCAGATGGGATCTTCACCTCCCCATCTGATTTCATGCAATCCTCCTTCGACATGACCAACTGTGATTTCCCACAAGAAGAGTTCATGGGAATGGATGGATGTTTCATGCAGGACCCAGCTGTTCCTTTGTTCGATGATGCTTCGTTCTTGGCGTACAACCCATACGACAGCAGCAACACATTCCGGAACCTGGTGGAGGCACAGGCTGCCGCTGACCCGCGTGTTGGTTCTATCAAGGAGAAGCGCCGCGAGGCAGGGATTGCACTACACTTGCAGCGCCTTTGTGATGACACTGCTCTTGACTTAGATATGTCCTCCGACTCTAACACCAGCTTCTCATCCCCAAGCTGGTCAGAATACGTTCGCGGGAGCATCTCTCCACGCCCTAGCCCGGAGACCACATCGGTCTCCGAGGCACCCCTCCAGGAGGCATGGAGATGATTCTCGACTTGAACATGAACGCCGCAGCCAATGTGCCTAGGAAACAGAAACCTCGCTCCCAGGCACAGAAGGAGAACTACATCAAGGCTCGGAAGTACGGTGCTTGCGAGAAGCATAAAAAGCAGCATAAGCGAGTACGTTTCCCATTCACATTAACCATTTGATCACCCTAACGTTCGAGTAGTGCAACTGTCTGGAGAAGGCTGCCGCTCGTGCCAGTGATGTTCCGATGAACGCCGCACTCCAACCACGGCCGAGGCAAACGACGCCCCAAGTCCCGACCTCAGAGTCACGGTACTCGGACTCGCCGGGTCACCACTCATTCAACCCAGCTCAACCGCTTCCCACCATTAAGGCGATCAGGAAACCAACAGGCTGCACATATGGGGTCGATCCATCTATGGGACTACCTGTCGCAGTACCCACCACCAAGCAGAATATCAGGACGAAGACTCAAAAGAGTACGCCGCCTGGACACGATATTGTTCTGCTATCTGGCAAGCTCAATTCAAATTCCAATTGCACGTTGAATCAAGACAACGTTCTACCATCGAGCCGAAACGCCGCGAAGGGTCATTGTGCCGGACACGACGTACTCCTATCTGGCAAGAACATCCCAAACAACTCATGCGCGGGACACGAGCGACTCGTCACCCAAGAGAAGATCTCCAAGAGCACAGCAAGTGGACAGCCCCACAATACATGCAGTTCAAATTCACCTCGGCCGGCCCACGCAGCTGGGGTGTCATCCGGCAGTTCCAGCTTGCGCTGGTGCGTTTCGACCTCGCCGGTTGGTGTTGCATGGTCCGAGAGGACAGTCAAGACGTCCTCGGCGAACCATTCAACTGCTTGCGACGGTCGCACTCCAGGCTTGGATGTACACCGAACAAGGTCCACTCCCACGATGGCAAGGTCCATGGTGCCAGGTACTGTTGCTGGCAGCCTTGGAATGCGCCATTCCACTTTGCTGCGCAACTCCGGAACCCAGCTACCTGGATCGGATCACAGGGCTTCACAAGGACTTGCCTGGCAACTCTCAACACTGTCTGGTCTCCTACCGGTGCCAAACGATCTATCGGTCTCGCCGTCTCGGCGTGGATCATCAGGTCTTTCTGGAACTGGACGGCCACTCATCAGCGGAGACGGTCTCCGTGTTCGATCCGCTGCTGAAAGGACTCGCCGCCTGCTTACCAGTACTGCCTTGGCATTTTCTGGTGCCTGGCAATCATCACTGTCTTTGGCATCTGGGGTTGAGGGCGTGGTTTACAAAGCTTTGTCTCTATTTGCCCGACATGTTGTGTCTGCGAAGAAGGGCTTATATCTCGGTGGACTGCGGAACGCTTTCGTATAGCTGTTCTGCTGTTCTTCGATGAACGTCACTGGAAGGAACATCTTCCGATAATTGGCTGGCGTTGAACGATACTGAATTGTAAAGGGCATGGGTGATATCTATTGTCACATTCTAGTTAGCTGTCCCTAATGATGAAATCAAGCGAAATTTCATTTGCATTATTTAATCTCCAGCAAACCCTGTATGTTCACAGTAATAATCTTGGAGCCCCAAGTACAATTAGTTATATGTGGTTTCAACAGCAACAACCAAATATATCGCTTCCTTCTTAGAGCTCCTATTGAATCGGTACCAGTATTTATACGCAATCAAAAGTAGTTCAAAATATTGCATGTCTGATGATTATACGGAGTACTATCGAGGTTATTTTCAGAAATGATAGACATCCTTTGCCGTCCCCACCACTTGAGCCTAATCCCGCGCCAGTCCTCTTTCTCTTGTTCCTGACGGTTCAAATCAACACGTATACTTCGCTTCGACTTCAAAACCATGCACTCCCCGCCCCTGTTCCGCTTCACTACAGTGACGGGGTATTTCCTCCAGGATGACCCCGCCACGGACCCCGACACCTTCGACTACGTAAAGAGACCCAAATAATTCTGTCAAAATAATTGTCTGACGATCTAGAAAGGTGAAATCAAACTTCGGCCTCATCGAAAAACAATACGGCGAGCATCTCGGAGTAGAACAGACCGACAGCCAGTGGCAGCGTTTCGACGCCCACATTAAACGCCAGAACGCCAGCAAGAGCAAAAAGCTCAAAGTCCTCTTCCTCGGACGCCACGGCGAGGGCGTCCACAATGTCGCCGAGCGCAAATACGGCAGCAAGAAGTGGGATGTAAGTAACCGAGTATTTCCTCTATAAACCAACCAGACGCCAACCAATCTCTAGGAATACTGGTCTCTCCAAGACGGAGACGAGGACGGCAGCTGGGTCGATGCCCGTCTAACCGAACAGGGAAGATGCCAGGCACAAGTCGCACACGCAGCCTGGGAGCAGCAGATCAAGGCCGGCATCCCGTCACCGGAATCTTACTACGTGAGCCCCCTGAACCGGTGTCTTGAAACCGCGCAGATTACGTTCCAGCGGCTTGCGATCCCTGGCACGGATCCTTTTAAGCCGACTATCAAAGAGGTGTGTCTGTTTGATCCCTACTACGGAGCGTACAATGTCTAACGAGACTAGCTACTCCGTGAGACGATGGGTCAGCACACTTGTGACCGTCGCTCGACGGCTTCGGAAATTGCAGACGAGTACCCGGAGTATAGATTTGAAGCGGGGTTCTCTGAGGAAGATAAGTTGTGGGATCGTGAGGTCCGTGAGTCGGATGAGCATCGCACTGAGCGGCTGCGCTGTCTTTTGAATGATATCTTTGCTCATGATGAGAGTACGTATATTTCGTTGACGGCTCATTCGGGTGCCATCACTAGCATTCTGGAGGTTTTGGGCCATCGTCGCTTTGCATTGGCGACTGGTGCGGTGATTCCTGTGCTTGTTTTGGTGGAAAGGGGGGAACCATCGCAGCTGGAGTCGCAATAATTGTAGGGCTCGCATGATCGGAGGGTTGCAACTTTATAACTGACATGGGTGCTGGGGTTGATAAATATTAAGAGCAGAACAGAACAGCCAGTCTCAATGGTTTGGTATCCAAGAAATTGATTCAGTATTGTACATGAGTCGCTTCTACTCAAGAAAGATGAGAGCGACTTCTCACAAATGCAATTGTCGCCTCCAATCGGCTAATGAAAAACCACTGTCCACGCGAAAGATCTAGATATAAATAATACAAACGCCAAAGCATCGATCACCAACTGTAGTACTGGTTCTGCGCAGAGATCTTGCGATCTGGCAGTTGTGTCCAAAGCTGAGCTCTGCGCTCCCGCTGGGCCTTGGCCTCACGGTCTTCCCATTCGCGGATGCGAGTCTTCTCTTCCTTCAACAGGACCGATAGACTTGTAGTGGGGGGACGCATGCGGTTGATCTGACCACGGGCGCGGTGATCCATCTCATATCCGTAAGGACCACGATTGACCCAGGCCTCCTGGATGTAGATATCAGAGGGGTTGGCAATCTTCTGCCGCTCGCCGGTCTTCAGTATGACAGTAATGGGTTTCGTTGGTTCGGAGTCAGAAGCCCCAAGGCCCATACCGGCACGGACGATGGCGACATTCTTTGCGTGTTCCAGGTGTTCCAGCACGTCCTTGGCAGCCTTTTTGTTGCTGAAGCGCATCTGGAGGATGGCTTCGTCGATATTCTTGCCAGCGATTTGGCGGGCGAGAGGACCTAGCTTCTTCAGCGAGGTCTTGATCCAGTGAGATCTGGAGAGCGATTCGCGCTCTGTGCGCTTAATTTGCACCTTTGTCGGTACACGGCCTCGTTTCCGGATCTCGCGGACAGCAATCTTCCTATCCCATCGCAGCTGGGCCCGGGGGTCGGGAGCCAATCCCACTTGCAGGCGACTTAAGTCGCGATCCTCCAACTTTCCGGAGATACCTTCTTTTTGTTCCCCCGTTGCCCTGGATGGCATGGGACCGGATGCTGGTGCGGCAAGGTCGGAGCCGAAGATGGAGGTTGCTAAAGTACCTTCTTCCTTCTTAGGGGCCGAAGGTCGGTGGGTGACTTTGGGTTTTTGGCTGGATCCCCCCGTGAACAAGTTCTTCAAGGAAGAAAACAAACCGGTCGGTTTTTTGCTTTCGCTATCTTTCACGGCGTAACGGATGGCTGTCGAGGTCAATGTTCGGCGAGGGACGAAGGAGACGGTCCGGACAGCTAAAGGTGGTAAGTAAGTCAGTAGGGGAGGTCAAGGATCCAATATATGAGCATAACATACCTGTCCGGACCAATTGCCCTGAGCGATAGACCATTGTGGCTGTTGGGATGTTGTTGTCAGAAGTTCACGTCGGGAAAAAAGGTGAAAGTTCCCTGCACTTGTGGTCTGTGCGGGACACCGGAGCCTGAGGCACCTTAAATTGATCGATCTTCTGAGAATAGCTTCAAGATATGCGACTTGTGACCACACCAGTCGATAGAACAAGAACAGGCTTATCTACAGCTGGAGATGATGTCGTATGTTTGAGGATCAAATTCGAACCTCATTCTCGCGACATTACTGTTTCGTCTTCCCAGCCATCTCCACAGTATCCACTAGGCCTCATCTTTCCCTCTTCCAGTTCTTCTCTCTCTCTTTTCATCTTCCTTCATCCCTCCCTTCACTTTTCAGGCCATCAGCCTGTTGTTTATATCCCTTTCGAATATCTGATATTCTTGAGATTTCAGCTTGCCCTCTCGGTTAAAGGACTCTCGTTCCCTCCAGGCATTCCATTAGATTCTTAGCCACCCACCAGAAGCAGCTGCGCAAGAGTAAATCTACGTCATTTGCCGGAACAACAACGAAAGAGGATCTGGACACGACCGGCCGATGCAGGAATGGACGTGTTGAGGTACACTAAGACCGTCGTATGATCTGGATCTCCGCTCGAAAAGTACCTGGGATCCATTACGACAATTCCCAGTATCCCATCGCTTCTCCCAAAGCTCTATCCAAATATGGACATCAGTTCGCTTCTTTCGCCGGACTCGAATCCAAAGTCTGGAAATTCGACGCCCGTGCCTGGTCCTACGTCGAACAACGCACCGGCCACCTCTGCAGGGCCATCCCCCCACAAAGCTATTGAGAGAACCCGGACAGGCTCGAGACGCAAGGGCAAGATCTCTTCGCCTCTGGCACAGCACGTATATGTTCCTAGTGGAGAATCTTCGCCAGGACTGAGCGGAGGAAATGGGACTTCTCCGACTGAAGTACATTCGAGACAACCATCCACGCCGGGAATGGATACCTTAGCGGATCTCGCCTCGATGCAGCACCACCAGCCACAACGTCCAACACCGACCAGCATGCTCCGGAGTACTGAATCCTATGAGCATCAGTTATCTCCATCTACTATTCACCCCCACGTCAACTCTATCAACCACAACACCCCCACCTCTCGGATGTCGTTCGAGCTCGCCATGTCGGATGGGCGCGACGGGCCCGCGAAGCGGACCTACGCCGCGACTTCGCTTGATCCAGATGCGCAACGTTTGGCGACCGAACTTTTTCATCAAATATCGCTCAACCCCCACACGCATGACGCGCACGTGCAATTTATCGGCTTGCTGCATGCAGGATTCGTTAACCACGTCTACCCTCCGAATAACCCAGATGTCCACGGTGACCCGCGACGCTATGATCTACTCAACGATTTGAAAACAGCACGCGAGGAAATGGACAAGCTTTTCGCGATGGGAGAAGATCTTTGGGCCGAATGGATTCAGGATGAGAGTATGTTAGCCCAAGATGTCGACGGTCGCATTGCTGTTCTAGAACTCTGCCAGCGATCCGTGGTAGAGGAGTTTGGCAGCACAAAATTGTGGAATATCTACGGCGAATGGGTACTTTATCTCTACAATTCCGCTCATGGCAAAACCAGTTCCCAGTGGACCGAAGAGGATCGCATGATTGGGCGCGAGGTGTTCACATGGGATTCGGTCGTGGAGGTGTGGCAGCGAGGTGCAGACGCTACCAAATGGAGAATCAACAACAGCCACTTGGTCTGGGATCGCCTTTTAGATCTTTATGCTCAGGACATCGCTCGCGAACCTTCTCAAGAGAAGATCAACCATCTTCATGGACTGTACAGTCATCGTCTGCAAACTCCCCACGCCACCTGGGAACAGACCTTCCAAAAGTTTTCAAGCTTCATTTCTGCTTATTGCAACAGCAAGTATGAGGAGATTATGTGTGAAACTGTTGCTCGCGCAGCGGAAGCAAAGGCTCTCTTTAACGCACGGGAGGAATTCGAACTCCGCCTGGTCAAAGCGCAAGAGTCTGGCGATCGTAGTCTCGAATGGGCTGTTTACTCCGAGTACATTCATTGGGAATTGACGCGCAACCGCCGGAAACGAGGAGAATTCAACTTCGAATTGGTGAACGCCATTTATCAGCGCGCTGTTCTTCACTTCCCCACCGATGTTTCGATTTGGGAAGACTATGTCATGTTTTTAATCGGCGAATCTATTCATCGCCACGCTTCTACCACGACAATCTCTACCCTAGACCGTGCCACGCGTCACTGTCCATGGTCTGGAAACCTGTGGTCCCAGTACCTGCTAAGCTCGGAAAGAGAGAATCAGTCGTTCAACAAGATTTCGAGTATCAAACACAAGGCGACCAGCACTGGACTGCTTGATGCTGGTGGTTTGGAGGAAGTCTTGAAGGTCCACGTCACCTGGTGCAGTTACCTTCGCCGACGCGCCTTTTTATCCGACTCAACCGACGAAGATCTTGATGTTGCAGAAGTTGGCATTCGCTCGGCAATCGAAAGCGTGCAAGAACTGGGCGAAAAGAAGTATGGCCCGGCGTACCAGGGCGATCCTCTTTTCCGTCTGGAGCGAATCTATATCCGTTTCCTCAGCGAAAGCGGCAGTTGGGACAGCGCGCGAGAGACCTTCAAGGGCTTAGTTGCTCGCCGTGGCAGTAGCTATGAATTCTGGCTCGCCTACTACGAATGGGAATTGATTTGCTGGAGCAAATTTGTGCAAGGCGAGGCAACTGTCGACGCAGCGCGCCGAACCCCTAACCCGAGCTTCGCTACTGCTGTGCTCAAACAAGCGATCAAAAGAACAGATCTAGACTGGCCTGACAAGATTGTTCAGACATATGTTACACATTGTGAGGACTATGAGGACTCAGATGAACTCCAGCTAGCTGTGATTGAGACTCGGAAAGCGATGCGAGCTGTCACTGCCCGAAGAGAGAGGGAAGCGCTAGAGGCAGCCGCAGCACAGCAGCAGCAGCAGCAACAACAGCAACAGCAGTGGGAGGCCGCAGTGCAGGCGGTCCCTTCGCCTGAAAAGCGAAAACGCGAAGACGAGAAGGACGGGATGCCGCAAACTAAAAAGGTCCGCAACCAAGAGGCACTGGCGGAGGCCCCTGCTCCTCCTCCACGGGATCGAGAGAATGCGACTGTTATCGTCTCGAACTTGCCTAAAGGTACCACTGAGAATAGCGTTCGTCTATTTTTCCGTCATGTAAGTGCCTTATCCAATTACTATCGGGAGAACTTAGCTGACCAAACAGATCGGTACCATCAATACCGTCAAAATGCTCCGTAGAGACGAGAAAAGCTCCGAGGTTGCGATCATCGAGTTTGAAACCAAAGAAGACGCTCTTGCTGCTATCACTCGTGACCAAAAGCGCTTCAACGACACTGATAACATCATCGACGTGCAAATTGGGTCAGAGACGACACTTTGGATCACCAATTACCCACCGGATGCGGGTGAGGACTACTTCCGCAATCTTTTCGGCAAGGTAAGTGCTTCACCCTAGCCTTCGTGACAAAGCTGACTTTAGCAGTATGGCGAAGTACTTGAAATTCGAATGCCGTCTCTCAAGTTTGACACTTCTAGACGCTTCTGCTACTTGCAGATGGATACCTCGAGTGCTGCCCATCATGCAACAGAGCTTCATGGAATGCGGTTCGAAAATGGTACGCGGC